AAGGTACGAGAAAGTATGTTTCAAACAGCTATACAAGTCTTGAAAGTGTCTGTCAATCACAGGTTTTTTCAAATAAAAATGTTAATTCAAACTGTCAAGTGACAATATGCGTTTTTAATTAATTATGGTTAACACATCTGGGAATATTTGTGTATATGATAAACAGTGGGCTGATCATTCAAATTACATAACATGAAGCCGGAATTGTGGAGCCATGATTTACTGCTAGACACTTCTAACATCAATGGCTCTCATAGTCAAAATGTTTTTTCTATCTTTCAGATGCAGAGACTTGGAAAAGAAAGTTAAAAAACAGCATAGAAAAGTTGGTAAATTAGACAAGGTAAAGTTGATTATACAACAAGACTAGCATAGGTGATGCATTATGTGTAACATTCTGTAACATTGTTACTCTTAAATATCATACACTTAGTTGTCACTTGCTAACAATTCAATTAATCTTTGTAACACTTATTCATTCATCATTGCATCACTATTTGCACCACTATGTCATTCATTAACCACTTATTTATTAGTTCACATAAAGTTCAAACTTCACTTACGCTCACATCAGTTATTATAACAAATATATGCACATACATTTATTTCGATATCCAAAAGATGGCCCAATGACAACTTTTTTAAGACCAAAAATGTACCACAGTCACAGTTTTATCATTCTGGATCCAGATCTCAGTCGTTCAAAATAGCCGACTAGTGGTAATTTTGCATCAAAGAATGCAGTTCCAGATCCACATCTCCAACATGCCTGAACTGATCAAGTTCAAACTAAACACATTCATCAGATATCATATCAGACCAATATATGTGCATTTTTGTCATATATCTCATTCCAATAAGAAAATCAGGAATTATGTCATTGACAATGACTTGCTTATCATTGCATCATTAATTCATTCATCATTGTATCACTAATTCCCATTAATTTTTATAATTCATTGATTCATTATTTCGGTTTTAGGCTAATGAACCTGTGAAAGTGGATAAATTTGAAGAGAAGAAAACACAAGAGATGAAAAGGCTTGAACGTTTTCAGGTGAGATGACACAAACATAAATTACCATTACTACATGTATTGCCATTTCTTTCATGAAGTTAACGTCAACTCACTGTCAATGTCCAACATATGGGTGTGACAGTGTTGACAATATTATGAGATACCTCAAAGAATGCAAAAAGTCAGTACAGCTGTAGCAGAGGTCGTTGCACGATGTACTGTCTGAATGCATACTTTAAGGTATCCTTGTAATAACCTTATTGTTATACATCTTTTCCATCCAAGGATACGCCGTGGGAATGCTGAAATCCAAAAAGTTTAGGACAGAATCAGCGAACGTTTTTTGTGGAGTCAAACCCTGATGGCAGCCATGTTTGTTTTTATTATTAGAGGACGTTTATGCGCGTAATCATTCCATATTTGGAATTTTAGTGCTGTGTTAGACACTATTTTTTGTCATGACTTGATTGTATTCCAATCTCTTAATATAACCATTCAAAAATTCTTGATATGACCATATTGAAATTAATATTTTGCCAGTGTTCACTTGAAATTTACGTTAATTGTTTTTGTGGAATGATAAAGCTAAAGCATGTCATAACCAGCAAAAGTTTTGTTTGTGTGCGTTTATTTTTTTTTCCTGGTGTTGAGATTTTGAAAACAATCAATGTGATTTTTATGCCATTGATCATACTCATATTTCAATATTTTGGTCACAAGTCCCTAGCTCTTCAACACATCCTGTTAACAGCAATAGACAAAAAGAATGAACTAGTTACAAAAGAAATGAAAGCATACTTTATAAATAAAAGATGAAGAACACTGATTTGGATTTGAAACAACAAAAATCACATAATTGAATGAGTCCCACCAAGAAGACTCAATGTTGTAGGATAGTGGCCTTTATTAGCTCCGCTGTCGACTTTGTCGAGCGGAGCTTATCATATGAGTGATTGTCCGTCGGCGTCCGTGTCAATGTTTTACTTTTTCGACTTCTTCTTGAAAACTACAAGCCTGAATGTTTTGATACTTGGTGTATATGTACCTTGGGTAGACCTCTCTCAGATTTGTTCATTTCATGATGATATCTTCAATTCTCTAATTTTGGTGAATATTTTTGTCATTTTTGGTAAAAAGTGATATTTTCAACTTCTTGTTAAAAAGCGCAAGTCCAATTGCTTTGATATTACATATATAGGTACTACATGTGGATCTCTCTCAGATTTGTTCATTTTGTAATGATATCTTCAATTTTTTAATTTGGGTGAATATTTTTGTCATTTTTGGTAAAAAGTGATATTTTCGACTTCTTGTTAAAAAGCGCAAGTCCAATTGCTTTGATATTACATATATAGGTACTACATGTGGACCTCTCTCAGATTTGTTCATTTTGTAATGATATCTTTAATTCTCTAATTTTGGTGAATATTTTTGGTAAAAAGTGATATTTTCAACTTCTTGTTAAAAACCACAAGTCCAATTGCTTTGGTATTACATATATAGGTACGACATGTGGACCTCTCTCAGATTTGTTCATTTTGTAATGATATCTTCAATTCTCTAATTTTGGTGAACATTTTTGTCATTTTTGGTAAAAAATGATACTTTCGACTTCATGTTAAAAAACGCAAGTCCAATTGCTTTGATATCACATATATAGGTACTACCGTAAAATCTGTATTAGAAGCCGCATCCCTAATAGAAGTCGCATCCATTCTATTTGAATAATTGAGAACCAAAAATTCATCATTTCTCATATGTGTAGATACTCTAATAGAAGCCGCATCCCCTCTGTTGCATTGTACCATTTTAATAGAAGCCGCGGCTTCTAATACAGATTTTACAGTACATGTGGACCTCTCTCAGATTTGTTCATTTTGTAATGATATCTTTAATTCTCTAATTTTGATGAATATTTTTATCATTTTCGGTAAAAAGTGATATTTTCGACTTGTTAAAACCTACAATCATTTATGGTGAAAAATGATATTTTTGAATTCTTGTTGAAAACAGCAAGTCCCATTGCTTTGATACTATACATATTGTTCATTTTCTAATGATATCTTCTGTTCTTTAATTGAAATGTGCATTGCTAACAGCGGAGCTATCTCAGCCGAGAGGCTGCTTGTTGTAATTTTTGATAAAAAGTGATATTTACGACTTCTTGTTAAAAACCAATAGTTCAATTGCTTTGATATTACATATATAGATACTACATGTAGACCTTTCTCAGATTTGTTCATTTTGTGGTGATATCTTCAATTCTCTAATGTTGGTGAATATTTTTGAAATTTTTGGTAAAAAGTGATATTTTCGACTTCTTGTTAAAAACTGTAAGTCTGATTGCTTTGATATTACATATATAGGTACTACATGTGGACCTCTCTCAGATTTGTTCATTTTGTGATGATATCTTCAATTCTCTAATTTTGGTGAATATTTTTGTAATTTTTGGTAAAAAAGTGATATTTTCTACTTTTTGTTAAAAACCAAAAATTCAATTGCTTTGATATTACATATATAGGTACTACATGTGGACCTCTCTCAGATTTGTTCATTTTGTGATGATATCTTCAATTCTTTATTTTTGGTGAATATTTTTGTAATTTTTGATAAAAAGTGATATTTTCAACTTCTTGTTAAAAACCGCAAGTCCGATTGCTTTGATATTACATATATAGATACTACATGTAGACCTTTCTCAGATTTGTTCATTTCGTGATGATATCTCCAATTCTCTAATTTCAGTGAATATTTTGTCATTTTTGGTAGAAAGTGATATTTTCGACTTCTTGTTAAAAACTGTAGGTCCGATTGCTTTGATATTACATATATAGATACTACATGTTACATGTAGACCTCTCTCAGATTTGTTCATTTTGTGATGATATCTTCAATTCTCTAATTTTGTGCGAAGCACAA